AAGAAGAAAAAAAGCAGGAAAAGGCTAGCAGAACAACAGAACATGCTTTTAGTCCTTGAGATAGCTGCAGCTTTGTAAATCTCTGTGGGCCAGTTGTTTGCTCAAATTTCTACCCCCAAATTCTTAAAATCTAAACTAATCACATTTTAAAAGCAAGGTTGCAGACAGCAGGAAATCCTGCACGGTGGAAATTGAGTATATTTCTGCTCCTCTTGGTTGCTTGGTGTAAGATAATGCCCGACTAGATGCAGGGTGGAGAAAGATTCAGCCAGCATAGTTCTAACCCTTTCTCATTAAAATTCATGCTATTATGCAGAGCACTTTTTTAATTCAGAATATAATTAAAGTTGCTATGGAGACATGGCCTTGCAACACAGTGGGCAATTGTTCACCCATCTCTTTATTCAGGTCCTTCCGTGGATGTGGAGCTTCCCAAACCACATTGCAGAAGCAGCAAGGACCACGTCCTCCGAGTTGCCTCCATTTCTGGAGGCTAATTCCATTTCTCCACCGGGATAGACTGCAACGAGGGCCCTTGGCGGTTTCCTTGCAGACATCTCATTACCAAAGTAGGTAACATCATCAGTGCTAGAAGGCAGTGGGGTTTGCTGCTCTATTTGCATTGCCCTGTCAGGATTGGTGGGATGTTCTTGGTGGTGTTCTTGATTAAGTTGTTGTTTACTTGAGTTGGTGGTTCCTTGACTGGGGTATTGTATTGGGGGTATAAGCAGAGAGCAAGCCCCACTCTTTTCTAGCACTGATGGTGTTACCTAGTTAGGTAATGAAACATCTGCAAGAAAGCAGCCAAGCTCAAACAGCACCAAGGACCCCATAGTCCTCCTCCTCCTCCTCCACTTTGCAAACACATCTCCCTTCTAGCACTGATGATGTTACCTACAAGGGTAATGAAACATCTGCCAGAAAACAACCAAGATCAGTGAGCACCAAGGACTCCACAATTCATACATACAGTACATTCTCTATTAGAATCTGGGTCTCCCCAGTCCTGATCCAACTCCTTCATTACTTACCCCACAGTTTCTGGGACCGAGGGAGAATCCAGGAGCTTCTGCAGATGGTGGGGAGGGGACTAAAATTCAACAGTTGGGGAGGGAGAGGACTAAAACTCAGATCTCTGCTCCCAGTCCACTACCTTCTCCCATCACCCACCACTGTCTAGAAGAGCATCAGAATCTCCTCTACAGCAGTTCATAAGTAAGCAACTAAGTAAAAAAAAAAACTAAGAAAGGTGTTTTTTTTTAAAAAAAATCTAGAGTTACACCATGCTTTGGGAAACCTGCAAGAATTAAAATGCTGAGTCAGGTCACTTAAAGATTAAAATACTGCATGCGTCAGGTTGCTCCTGGTACAAATAATTCCTTACTTATTAAGCGGACCGCTATCAAGGAATGACTTTTATACTCACAGCTCTTCTAGACATTTGGTGGAGTTGTCATTTGAGTTCAGCCTTATCAATAACCTCCCTTTTTTTAAAAAAAAAAATCTATACAGGCGGTCCTCTACTTACAAGCACACTTGAGCCCAACTTTGTTTTTTTGTCGTGAAGCGAGACAGTTGTTAAATGAGTTTTGCCCCATTTTACGACTTTCCTGGCTCTGGTTGTTAAGGGAATCGTGGCAGCTGTTAAGTTAGTAACAAGGTTGTTACTATGGACTCTGCTTGTTGTAAGGTTCCAAAAGGGGATCACGTGAACCCGGGACGCTGCGACCGTCGTAACTAGGAGTTAGTTGCTAAGCGTCTGAATTTTGATCCTGTGACTATGAGGATACCGCGATGGCTGTCAGTGTGAAAAATGGTCGTAAGTCCCTTTTTTCAGCGCCGCAACTTCGGTCACTATACAAACGGGTGTAAGTCAAGGATTGTGTGCATTTGTTTGTTCCTATGACTTAGCTCTGCCTGGTTTTGGAGTCCCCCACTCAGAGTTGCTAAGGCCTCTCTTTCTCTTCTCTAGCCTGATCTCCTTCCCTTGTGTACCAGCCCCGCTGTTTTCCCCTAACCAAGATTACTCTGTTGTTGTTTTTGGTTGAAGCTCTCGCAGCTGCTGCTGGCATCACGGTGGGTGGGAGAGAGGATCTGCCTTCTCCCCTGGGAAGGCAGAACTGGGTGCCCGAGTCGGCACCGGGGAGGAGACGGGCTACGTGCCGACAGGGGCTTTGCGACGAAGCGGGCTTTGTGCAAACAATGAAAGACTGCTGAAGTTGTCAAAAAAAAAAAAAGAGAGAGAGAGAGAGAGAAATGCTTTGTGATCCGGAGAGTTTCGTATCAGCAAGGTAGTAAAAGGACGTTTAGAAGATATAGGAAAAGCAGGAGGGGGAGAAAGGAGAAGAGGAGGCAGAGGAAGGAGGAAGGAGAAGAGGAAGAGGAGGACAACGAGGAGGATGAGAAGAGGGAGAAGGAGAAGAGGTAGAGGAAGGAGAAAGGAGATAAGAAGGAGGAGGAGGAGGAGGAGGAGGAGGAGGAGAAGAAGAAGAAGAAGAAGAAGAAGAAGAAGAAGAAGAAGAAGAAGAAGAAGAAGAAGAGGGGGAGGAAGAGGAGGAGGAGGAGGAGGAGGAGAAGAAGAAGAAGAAGAAGGAAGAAGAAGAAGAAAGTAGAAGAAGAAAGTAGAAGAAGAAGAAGAAGAAGAAGAAGAAGAAGAAGAAGAAGAAGAAGAAGAAGAAGAAGAAGAAGAAGAAGAAGAAATTAATATACCTTCTTAAGATATTAAGTAAGCTTTGCCTTATTTTACGACCACTCTTGCTACAAGTTGTTAAGTGAATCCTTGCAGCTGTTCAGTTCGGAACATAAGTGAACCTTTCTTCCCCATTGGCTTTGCAGGTCAAAAGGCCGTCAAAGGGGACACTGCAACCGTCATAACTATGAGTCAGCTGCCAAGCCTCTGGATTTTGATCACGTGACCGTGGGGACGCTTCAACGGTCATGTGAAAACAGTAAGAAATTACTTTTTTCAGTGCCGTTATAACTTCTAACGGTCACTAAACAAACTGCTGAAAGCCGAGGACTACCTGTAATCATGGAACAGAACATGAGGACTAGACCCTTGATGTCACTCAAGCTATTATTGCTCGCCGTTAGACAAACTATACAACCAAGCGCAATCTTGATTCGCACGGATTTGTTTTTCTCTCTTTTGGAAAAGAGACAACTATGCAAGAAAAAAAAAAAGGAAAGCAGCTAAACTTATGAAATACGATTTCTGACTTTTTCTTCCACAGATAATTGCAATCTTACACAGTCTTCAGCCCTTCCCTGAATCCACCTCTTTTTAAATCTTCCAATTGATCAATCATCGTATCTCTTTTTTTTTTCTTCTTTCAGCAAAAAGAAGAACCATATAAGGTTTCCAGCCTTTGGGAAAAGTTTTTGTTTGTTTTGTTTTTCTCTGACTAAACAGATCAGCTCAGCTATCTCAGCAAATTCTAACATCCTACACAAAGTTCACCACGGGACTTCCGGCTTTGTTTTTAAACGCAGAAAAGTTTGTGAAATTAATTTGGCGTTGTTGTTTTTCTGCAGAGTGTTGCCTTGCTAAAGACTATCAGAAGGTCAACATCTGCAAATGTGCACAAATTAAAATGGAATTCCTCTCTCTCTCTCCTTCTCTTTGTCCCTATTTCCCTCTTTCTCTCTTTCCCTCTCTTCCCCTTTCTCTTTCCCTCTCTTATTTCCCTCTCTTTCTTACCTTTCTCTCTTTCCCTCTTTCTTTCCCTCTTTCTCCCTCCCTATTACCCTCTCTCTCTTCCCACCTTTCTCTTTCCCTCTTTCTCCTCTCTTTTTCTCTTTCTCTCTCTTTCCTTCTCTTCTTTCTCTCTCTTTCTTCCCTTTCTCTTTCCCTCTCTCTCTCCCTCTCTTTCCTCCCTTTCTCTTTTCCTCTCCCTATTCCCCCTTTCTCTTTCTTTCCCCCCTCTCTTTCCCCCCTCTCTTTCCCCTTTCTTTCTTTCTTTCTTCTTTCTTTCTTTCTTTCTTTCTTTCTTTCTTTCTTTCTTTCTCTTTCTCTCTTTCTTTCCTTTTCTCTCTCTCTCCCTCCCTCCCTTTTTTCATATCACCTCCCAAAGCCACCGAAATCAGTCAATCAATCAATCAATCCCCTCCTTGAACCCCGAATGCATTGTCCACACCAAAACACATTTCTGGTATTCAATATTTTCTGTGCAACCGATGCAGACGTATTAAGTCGGTGTTTCTCAACCCTGGAAACTTTAAGATGGGTGGACTTCAACTCCCAGAATTCCCCGGCCAGCCATTCGTCTAAGTAATGTCAGGATTGTAAACTAAACCAAGAAACTGGAGGATAAAAAGAACCTCGGAAATCCACTTGAATCTTAACCTTATCTGACCCAGGGAAAACATACGCCATTTTCCTCTGATTTTCCAGAAATTATGAACAGGTTTCTCCATATCTTGAAATGAAGCGTAGATGCACGGTTTTTTTCACGCTAAAAACTGCAGACCAGGAAAAAGGAGACATTAAGGAAACAACCCAATACGGTCTTATTTGGGAATAAGTCTCAACAAATCCAGGGAAACTAACTTCTGAGTAGGCCTCTCTGTTTCACTTTCCTAATCTCCTAGTTGGATTCTGATTAAAAGGGAAATAAAAACACTGACGCAAAGACAGGATCGGGTGTCGGGTTGGTCTGCTTTTAAGTTTTGCAGAGATTGCAAGAATTAAAAATTAACGAACCAAGTCCACGCCCTAGAACTGTACCGGGAAGAGTTGTGCTTTTAGCCACCTCACCTGCAAATATTCTAAATATTAATGGAGCCATAAAAAGCCCCATTCACTTTGCTTAGGCTTCACTATTCTGGTGAGCAGATTAATTCACCTGCAAATAAGGTTGCTTGGTTTTTTTTCCTTCCTTCCTTCCTTCCTTCCTTCCTTCCTTCCTTCCTTCCTTCCTCCCTCCCTCCCTCCCTCCCTCTTTCTCCCTTCCTGCAACTAACCCTTCCTCTTTTCTTTCTTTTAAGCAAATCCATCCTTCCTTCCTCCCTCCCTCCCTCCCTCCCTCCATCCCTCTTTCTCTCTTCCTGCAAATAACCCTTCCTGTCTTTCCTGTTCTTTTAAGCAAATCCTTCCTTTCTGCCTTCCTTCTTTCCTTCCTTCTTCCTCCCTCCCTCCACCTCTCCCTCCCTTTGTTCAAATAACCCTTCCTGTCTTCTTTCCTGTTCTTTTAAGCAAATCCTTCTTTCCTTCCTTCCCTTCCAAAAAGAAAAAAAGAAAAAAGAATCAGAAGGCTAATGTGCAATTTATGTAACTAGCATCTTTTAAACAAACAAATTAAACAGACTAAACCCACAGAAAGTTATTTCCAGAATGGGAACTCCAGAAAGGAGGACCTCTAGGACAGGGAATTGGAGAGCTTAAAAGCATTCCAGGATCAGAATGCTTTTCAGCCATGCCAAGGAGCCCTTGGAAAAGGACTGAGGCCACGCCATTCAACTGGTGTCTTAAGGAGAGCCAAGTCTTGTTTTTCAAAAGGAGAGAGAGAGAGAGAGAGAGAGAGAGAGAGAGAGAGAGAGAGAGAGAGAGAGAGAGAGAGAGAGAGAGAGAGAGAGAGAGAGGAGGGTTTCCCCCCCTCCCCACAAAGGATGAAGTCCCAACATTGACCCCAATCAGGTCTTTTTAAAGTCTCCATCAACATCTAACCAACTCTGACATGTTCCATTCTTTCTTGGACAAAAAAAAAGCGCCTCCCGTTTCTACACACCACGGGAATGCAGCTCAGGAGAGGAGAAGACCACAGTGTCCTCGACTTGAGATTTTTGTGGCATTTTTCTGCCTCTAAACACACACACACACACACCCGTTCCCTTTCTCAGATTGGCTATTCTGAAATCTGCCTCCCTCTCTAGTTCCTCAAGTTCTTTCTCTGTGGGGCGATAAACAGGGCAGGAAGGAGAGACAAAAGCTTTCTTTCTCTTCTTCTCCTCCGATCCGTCAGCCATCAGGCATAGATAGGGGGTGTCTCTCTTGCATGCACACACAACTGCAATACACACACACACACACACACACACCCCACTCCCCAGAGCTGCAGAAGAGAGAGAGAGAGGTGGGGGAAAAATCAGAAATGGGTACCTTTCCAGAGAGGATGGATGGCAAGGCGAATCCTTCCTGGTTGAGTAAGCGAGGAACGGATTTGTCTTTGGTTACGATGGATCACATCCCTGGGAGGCGGGTGGGTGGGTGGGTTCAGGGAGAGGTCCAAGCTTTGCCCCTTCCTCCTCCTCCTCCTCCTCCTCCTCCTGCTGTGCTCCCGTCCTCCCCGCCTCGGCTTGGCACCGGTTTCTTAGGGTGACCTTCAACGGCACCACCCGCTCGGCTAGCTGCATTCTCTTCTGACAAAGAGCTGGTTCCTTGGTTACGGTGCTCGGTCAGGTGTGTTTTAACTACAGCTCTGGGCTGACTCAAACTACAGCGCTGGAGCCCTCGAGGCAGCTCCGAGGTTTATTTATTTATTAAGGTTTTTTTAAAAATTATTATTATTATTATCCCATCTTATTGCAGGCTAGCTAACTCAAGGGGGCGAACATACCTAACGGCAATAGCACCTAGACTTATATACCGCTTCACACTGCTTTACAGCCCTCTTACAGAATCAGCCTATTGCCCCGCAACAATCTGGGCCCTCGTTTTACCAACCTGGGAAAGATTAGAATAGAATAGAATAGAATAGAATAGAATAGAATAGAATAGAATAAGGAATAGAATAGAATAGAATAGAATAGAATAGAATAGAATAGAATAAGGAATAGAATAGAATAGAATAGAATAAGGAATAGAATAGAATAAGGAATAGAATAGAATAGAATAGAATAGAATAGAATAGAATAGAATAGAATAGAATAGAATAGAATAGAATAGAGCTGGAAGGGACCTTGGAGGTCTTCTAGTCCAGCCCCCTGCTTAAGCAGGAGAACCTACACCATCTCAGACAAGGGATTGTCCTGTCTCTTCTTGAAAATCTCCAGTGATGGAGCTCCCACGATTTCTGGAGGCAAGCTGTTCCACCGGTTAATTGTCCTCACTGTTAGGAAGTTTCTCCTTAATTCCAGCTTGCTTCTCTCTTTGATCAGTTTCCAACCCTTGTTTCTCATCCTTCCCTCTGGTGCTACACTTTCCTCCTCTTCCTCCTATTTTACCCACAACAGCCCTGTGAGGTTGAGTTGGGCTGAGAGAGACCGACGGCACCCAGTTGGCCTTCATGCCTAAAGCAGGACTAGAACTCACTGTCTCCTGGTGATTGGCCTCAAATCACTAGTTGGCTTTTGTGCCTAAGGCAGAAGTAGAACTCACCATCTCCTAGTTATTGGCCCAAAGTCACCCAGGCAGCTTTCATATCTAAGGTGAAACTATAACTTACCATCTCCTGGTTTCTACTAGCCTGGTGCCTTAATCACTAGACCAAACTGGCTCTGATTGATTGATTGATAGATTGATTAGACTACTCTCTGTTCAATCAATCTAAATGGACTTCTAGTCCTATCGCCCATGGTCCAGCAGATTGTGGAATTCTGGGGTCTGAAGTCCACACACCTGGAAATGGGTACGCAATACTTTTCTATTTTTCAATGCGCAGTCATAGGGACTAGAACCTTGCCTAATTCACAAAGGCAGCATGAAACTGGAGGGTCTGAATACCCAAGCTCTATACCACATTACACCTCCGTTGCTCAGGAACACCGGTGTATATACCCACAAAGAAACGCCCGCACAATTAAGATCTCTGAATTTCCCCGAAGCTGCTGGATTTCTTGAGAAAAATGCTACGGGCTGTTTTTATGGTCACCCATTCTCTCACAATCCCTGCTATTGTTCTAAGAGGCAGGACTAGTTCTGCAGAAAGGAAAATGATAGATGATCTCTCCTGGATGCAACAGGATTAACTGGGCTGTGCAGCAAAATAAGGATTTTGAAAGACTTTGAAAACAAGGAGAAAGTGCCCCGGATTAGCTAACCGCCAACGGCATACCAGAGTTTTGTGTCATGCATTTTGGACAGATTGCATGCTTCAGGCATCATCAAAGGGATCCTCCTGTTTCCCACAGGAGGCACCACCCCAACAAGTCCTTTGTCAAGAGGGCGCCCTTCCTTTGGAACGGCTTACCTGCAGATACCCAAATTTCCTTGCTACATTCCCGGAGAACTCTCCAAAACTAAGGAAGGAGCGTTATCACTCGAGAGTGATATTAGCGCGTTCGCACTATCACAAATGAGCTGCAAAGCCACCAAGCCAACACTAGAGGGCAATGAGCACGGACAGAAAACCGGACCTTGTGCTGCCATCTAGAGATCAGCCAAATTTTTGCAGCTCGTTATTTTTGTGTGTGTCTCCCTAAAAATCCCACAGGGGGCCGTGTTCCAGATAAACCAAGTCTTTCTCCATTCTGCCTGATTTCTTAGGATCAGTCCCCCCCCAAAAAAAGAACAAAGGATCTATTCTGAGTACACGATTATCTCTTCCCTGGGGAGATTACTGATGCGCTCGCCATCTGCCCAACGTCTAATTATGGCTCCTCTGGAGAGTTTTAAATGCTGAGGTGCCAAAAACCTCCACAATTTTTTCAGTAAACAGGGATCATGTGGTAGTTCGCCTTTGCTAAGCTGGCTTGAGGGCGAAGCAGACAAAAGCAAGTATCTCAGGCGGGCAAACATTGGGTGTTTCAGGAGATTTCAATAGTTCCAACAGAGCCACAAAGATGATCAGGGGATTGGAGGCTAAAACACAGAAGGAACGGCTGCTGGAATTGGGGATGTCTAGTTTAACGAAGAGAAGGATGAGGCGGGACATGATAACAGTGCTCCAATATCTCAGGGGCTGCCCCAAAGAAGAGGGAGTCAAGCTATTCTCCAAGGTGCCTGAAGGCAGGACAAGAAGCAACGGATGGAAACTAATCAAGGAGAGAAGCAACCTAGAACTAAGGATAAACTTCCTGACAGTTAGAACAATTAACCAGTGGAACAACCTGCCTCCAGAAGTGGTGAATGCTCCAACACTGGAAGTTTTTAAGAAGAGCCTGGACAGCCACTTGTCTGAAATGGCATAGGGTTTCCTGCTTGAGCAGGGGGTTGGACTAGATGACCTCCAAGGTCCCTTCCAACATCATCATCATCATCATCATTATCATCTACAATTGGAACATAGAACACAGAATCACAGGGCTAGGAAGGGACCGTGGAGGTCTCTAGACAGTCACTTGTTTGAGATGGTATAGGGTCTCCTGCTTGAGCAGGGGGCTGGACTAGAAGACCTCAAAGGTCCCTTCCAGCTCTATTTCTATTCTATTCTATTCTATTCTATTTTATTCTATTCTGCTCTAATTCTATTCTACTCTGCTGTTATTCTATTCTACTCTACTCTACTCTACTCTACTCTACTCTACTCTACTCTACTCTACTCTATTCTATTCTATTCTATTCTATTCTATTCTTTATTCTATTCTATTGCCAGTAGATGCCAGGGTGTATTTGCTTGTCTACCGTGGGTGGCAAAGTATACGGCCTGGCCTTCCTGTATCAGGTGAGTTTAGATCTCTTTGGACAAGAGAAACTGACATTCATGTGCCCAGATTAAGGTTCACATTATCTTCGCTCTTTACCCAGTTTGCATTCCTTGCAAAAGGGCAATCCTGATAACCTACTATGGCAAGGTTGCACAAACAAATTGCAGAAAAACAGCTTGCCTGTACAGGCAGACCTTGACGTGGGACCGCAATTCAGCCCAACGTTTCTGTTGCTACGGGACACCGTTGTTAGGTGAGTTTTGCCCCATTTTACGAACTTCCTTGCCACCGTTAAGTGAATCACTGCAGTTGTTAAGTTGTTAAATTAGCAGCTCGGTCGTTAAGCGAATCTGGCTTCCCCTGGACACTGCGACCGTCATAAATGTGAGTCAGCTGTCAAGCATCCAAATCTAAATCACGTGACCACGGGGAGGCTGCAACGGCCATAAGTGTGAAAAGGGATCATAAGTCACTTTTTCCAGTGCCATTGTTACTTCAAACGGTCACTAAACAAATCAAGGACTAACTGTATTCAGCAGTGAATTACTTTCCCAATCGCTGTCAACTCTTCTTCCCAAGGCTTCTGTTTAGTTCAGCCAAATATTTTTATTCTGATACTCAGAGGCTCCAGGTACACCACAAAAATATTGTCTGTTTTGCCTTCTGAATGTCGTTTCAACATTATTCCTAGTACGGTTATCAGCCAGGCCCCAGACTTCCGATTTTAAAATATTTATCAAGCAACAGGCATGCAAAGCAAAACACAATATTTAAAAACAACATCATACTGTTACAATACTATAACAACGTTTTTGAATGATACTTCGTCTTCCTTTTAGCTTGCTACATTTTTTCTCCCTCTTGGGGGTTGGGATACTCGTCAAGCAAACATTGAAGAAATATAGTAAACATTTGGGGGAAAAGTAGCCTCTTTCTCCACCTATATTTACAACAAGGAAAATATACATCTGTCAAATCTCCTGTATTTTTAATAGGCCGGCCTTCAACAGATCCCTTTTTCTGTGACATGAACAGCATATCAATAAGAGAAAATCCATACTTGCAGGGATATCTATGTTCAGTTTTCAGGAGATGAATCCCTATTAATTAAAAAAAAAGCAACCCAGTTGAATATTTTAAATAAATCCCAAACCACAAAGTTGGGAGGTGAAGCGTCATCGGCAGAATGCAATTTAAAAATATCGATTAAGCCACGCGACTTTTAAAATATCACTTATTTACAGCGCGATCGAGGGAAAGATTCTTGCCCAGTTTGATTTCTCCCTAGCCGGTGCATTCATGCCAAAATGTCTACGGAAAAAGCACTTTCCATGCCAAGGAGAACTGCACCAGTTGGATGCCTGCCGTGCAGGAAGAAAAGGAAGCTGCAATCTTTTTTTGTGTTCCTTGTCCATTTCGGATGAATGCATTAGGATTTTTGGATGGAGGGCCAAAACATCTGTACAAAATAGCCCGCAAGGCTTGCAACGTCCAAAATTAAAACCACAGAAAAAGAATACAATGCAAGAATCCCATCAGATCAGCATTAATCAGAATCCAGTACCCCTATGGCTAAGATTTTGACTATATCGGACATGCATATAGTAAATATAATAAATATTAATACTGTACCCAAGTTAATGAGATGCGTAGGGAAATGCCACGCCTCCGCGGGCAGCAGAACTCCTCCTCCTTCTCCCCCCCTCGCAGCTCTCTGGTATTGGTGCCCACTCAAGTGCCTGACTCTCACCTCGCCTTGCCTCGTCCGGGAGCGCTGCTTTTTCAACCATAAGGAGGAGAGACAGAGCTCTCCTTCTTTACCAGCTTCGTCTTATCTTTTTTCCGGGAAAGGAAAAGACAACCATCTCGCAGGCGCCAGGAGGAGCCATCAGGCACTGTTTTAGACACCTTTCCAAAGCACGGCGTGCCCTTCAGGGGCCCTGAGGCGAAGCCAAGCTGCCGTACAACATGGCGGCGCTCTGGCGAGGGCGCTTCCGGGTTGAGCCCTGGCTCCGCGGTGCCGCGCGGGCTCTTTCAGCAGGTGGGGGTTCCCCAAAGCAAAATTTGGGGTGGGGGTGCTTCGAGGTGGGCTAGGGAGGGGGACGAGGCTTTGGGGGAGAGGGGAGAGGGGTTCTGCATTTGTAGGAGGGCTAGCAGAAAGCGCCTGGGCTTGCACAGGCAAACGTTCAACAGGTCGAGCTTTGCCTGGGGTGGCTGCGCCTGTTGCATTTCTGCCCGCTTCTTTCCCCTCTGACAAAAAGTCGGGGCGCAGAAGGGAGAAAGAACGCAGTCTGCTCTGATGGACATTTGCTCCCCCCACCCCGCTTTGCAAAGGAGCCCATGAAATCGAAGTGGGTGGATTCTTGGGGTGCAATTGGCACACGGGGGGCGCGGGAACAAGTCAGCACGCCTGGCTGTGGGAGATGGGCATTGCAATCCCCGGCCCCAGCTGCAGAAAGCATGCTCAGCCCTGTTCTGTTCCTCCCCCTTGGGATTTATTTTGTTTGCTTAAAAGTTGCCCAAACTTGCCTGGACCCCAGGAAGGCCACCCTATGCTTGCAGTACTGGCTTCGGGGAAAATGCAGGCTGGCACCCAAGGAGGCAACCGGAGGCCCCATTGCATGCACCTTGTGCAGTTCCAGCTAGCCTGTGTGAACGAGGTCAAATCATCCCAAACCCAGGTCAAGAAAGAAAGCAACATGGATTGGGGAAAGGAGTGTGTGCAGAAGTTATGTTAGGATGCAGTCTGGATGAGCGGCTTCTGATTAGACAAATAGGTGAATGGACTGCTAACTGTAGGGTCCTTGGTGCTCCCCGAGCTTGGTGGTTTTCTTGCAGGCGTTTCATGACCCAACTAGGTAACATCATCAGTGCTAGTGGGGTGTGCAGAGAGGAAGAGGAGGACTTGTGGGGTCCTTGGCGCTCCCTGAGCCTGGTGGTTTTCTTGCAGATGTTTCATGACCCAACTAGGTAACATCATCAGTGCAAGAAGGGAGGGGGGGTTGTGGCAAGGAGGGGGAGGGGGAGGAGGAGGAGGAGGACAAGGAGGAGGAGGAAGAGGACTGTGGGGTCCTTGGTGTTCTCTGGGTTTTCTTGTAGACGTTTCATGACCCAACTAGGTAACATCATCAATGCTAGAAGGGAGTGGGGTTTGCAGAGTGGAGGAGGAGGAGGAGGAGGAGGAAGAGAAGGAGGATTGTGGGTCCTTGGTGCTCTCTGCACTTAATTATTTTCTTGCAGACATTTCATTACCCGACTAGGTAACATTATCAGTGTTAGAAGGGAATGGAGTTGGCTCTTATTTTTATCTATTAGTGGCTTGTCTGTCAGTGTTGGTGGAAGTGGTCGTGGTACTTCCTTGATTGGGGTATCTTTTACTTCTTGATTGTTGATCGAATATTAATCTTGGTGTTAATCTCTGCTCATCTTGATATTGATTGCTGGTGAATAGGTTCTTTTTGTTTCCTTTAGATTGTCTCTTTTCAACGGTATGTACACATTGTTTATCTCTATGCGACTGTTCATGGTTGATTTGTCTTGAGTGCCACAAATTCTCTGGTGGTTTTGGACTTGGCTTGATCTAGAATTCTCACACCAAGATTAATACTGGATTAACCATCAAGAATCCAGAGTCCCCTCACTGCAAGATGGGCAGCAAATCAATTTAATAAATAAATATAAATAAACAAACTACCAATGCAGACAAAGATGCTAATTGTAAACAGTTGGTGGCTTGAGAGTGCTGTCCCCGTCTTTTTAACTTGGCCTGTTTCTGTACCATCTTATGGTTTGTACTTGAAATCTGCTCAGAGTCACTTAGATAGTGAGATGGATGGTGTACAAATTGGATGCACAAATGCATAAAATAATTACTAGCTTCCTTGAGGCCACCGTGCCATAACCAAAAGTCTCTAACAGTTCCTGCCAAATTGCCATGATGTTAATGGTACAGAAGAAGAGAAGTGAGTCCATTAATGGGCTGTTGCTAACGCTGTTTTAATAATTACTGAAACTGAAAAATATTTATTTCAAGCATGTTCTGCTGTTCACTCTCTCAGCTTTTCAGGACTTTTAGCGGTTCGGTCCCCCTGTTTCTTTGACTCAACCTTGCCCACCCAGACAGCTACAAAACCAGTCTAAAGATTCCTAACTGGATCCACACAGCTAGTGCACAGGGCCAAAGTTGACTGTGGGCAGGATCTATTTCCAGCAAGATATGCTTCTAAGCTATAGGTCAACCCTTCTGGCCTTAAATCATGTTTCTTGTCAACTGATTAACCTGGGATCTGGAATACTGAAGCTTTAGCAGAATTCCTTACCTCTTCCTCCACTGGTTGAAGAATGTAGTCAACGAGGACGGATTTCTAACTCTCAGCAGGACACGTCCAACGGACCTCAAATCTCCCCTTGTTGATTCTTGTAGGACATTTTCAGTTGGTTGAGCAAGTCAGGCAGTTCTCCAGAGATAACACGATGGTGTCAAACGGGAGGAACTGGATGGTCTCCAACCTCAAGTCCGGAATGCAGGCAATGCAGAGGCCTGATATTAGTTAACAATGAAGGTTATAGCTAGGAAACCGGAGTGGGTAACCTCATATTTATAAATACTTGCTGATCTTTTGGATGGTTCTCCATGTTGGCAGATGTGCAGACCACAAGCCCAGCTTCTCAGTTTCCTCAAGGGCAAGCTACAGAAATAAGTACAGGTAATCCTTGACTTACGGCCGCAATTGAGCCCAACGTTTCTGTTACTAAGTGAGACATTTGTGAAGTGGTCCTTTGCCCTTGGGGAAAACTAGAAACCTGAAATGGACCAAAGCACCCAGGGGAACTTTCCCAGACAGCAAAGTCAATGGGGGAAGCCAAGATTTGCTTAACAAGCTCAAGTTTCACTTAACAACTCCTACACACCTTAAAGCAATTCACCGTATCTTGTCTTGCTTATATTTGAAGGGCAGACGTTGAATAATATCTACTGCTGTTTTAAAATGTTTTCTCTTTTTTTACACAGGGAAGAAGAATGAGTATGACCTTGTTGTTATCGGAGGGGGCTCTGGCGGATTGGCTTGTGCTAAAGAAGGTACACTGGCTGAGGAATTCTGGGAGTCGAAGTCCACAAGTCATAAAAGGTCCAAGTGTAAAGACCCCTGGTCTAAAGAGAAAAGGAACTCTTTTTATTATTTTTCTGTCCACAATTCTCCCAGAATTGTTATATTTGCTACTAACTACTAGAGGCACTATGGGACCGGTTTTATTCTTGTATTGTAGTGGGACTCGAGGTCAAAAGTGGTCCTATAGTGCCCCCTAGTGGCCCGTACCAAATCTATCAACTTGCAAGAAAAAGTTGGAAATCCCATCTCCACAAGAGAATGTTTGGGACAACTAATATAAGACCTTTATCTAAATAAAGCTTCAGTTGTCTTTGGACCAGTTTGTAGAGCATCTCTATTACTGTATCCTTGTCTTCAAACACATCTGTAACTTTTATTTCTCTTTGTTTAAGCTGCCCAGTTTGGAAAGAAGGTAGCTGTCCTAGATTATGTGGAGCCTTCTCCAAGAGGTGAGTCACAATCTGAGCGAATTGCAAAAATCTGTCCTTGTTGTGATCTTAAATGTCTTAAGGCTAGCTGGAGAATTCTGGGAGTTGACGTCCACCAATCTTAAAGTTACACACAGTTGGATGCCCCTGATTTAGAGTGATCCTCAACTTAAATTCTGTTGCTATGTGAGAAATTTAAGTTGAGTTTTGCTCCATTTTAAGATTCCTCTTGCCCCATTTGTTCAGCGAATGGCTGCGGGTTGCTAAATTAGTAACGGCTCCTTCTCAAAGTTCATAAATGCAACGGATGGCGTTGTTGGATCTAATGGGGCATAAGAACAAGTTGCTCAGGACTTGAGAACAAACTCCACCCATGAATGAGCATGTGGCTTTTCCCCTTCTCCAGGAACCAAATGGGGGCTTGGTGGGACATGTGTGAACGTGGGTTGCATTCCAAAGAAGTTGATGCACCAAGCGGCCCTCCTGGGACATTCGATCCGAGATGCCCAACATTATGGCTGGAACGTACCCCACCGTATCAGCCACGACTGGTAAGGCAACTCTCCTGCCTGTTTTTTGCAACTTACCTGTGCACAAACCCTTCAAAAGATCCCAGAAGAACTGGGAAGATTTGTTTCAGAAGAGAAAGGCTGTAGGACATTGTCTTCTCCTGAGTTGGTCTATGGATTCATCCACTCTAGGCTATGTGTTTGCCTAGAAGGGAAGAGGATTTTTTTTTTTGCCCCAAATAATTTCACTTTCAAATACGAAGATTTTAGATTTATTGAGAGTATGCTAAGCCAGGACATTTTTTCCCCTATTATCATCTTTGGGTTAGGACAGGGGTCTTCAAACTTGGTCCTTTGATGACTTGTGCACTTCAACTCCCAGAATTTGCTTGGCTGAGGAATTCTGGGAGTTGAAGTCCACAAGTCATAAAAGGGCCAAGTTTGAAGACCCCCTGGGTTAGGAGGATTTACCATTTGGATTTTAAAAAGTCCATCTTTTCTATGTTCCTCTTTTTGTTTTGTAGGCTTCGACTGTCCTGAAAAATTCTAATTTAAAAACAAGACAAAACACGGCTACTTGTACTTATATTTTCCACTAACGCCCGTCAATTCCTGTCTCTTAAATCCCTTAAATCCATTCAGCCTTGTAATTCCTCTCTCTCTCTTTTTGCCTGCCAGGTCTGTGATGGCCAAGGGGGTTCAGAACTATGTCAAATCCTTGAATTGGGGACACAGGTTACAGTTACAAGATAAGTAAGTGCCTCTTTTTTTTCCTGTGCCTCCAAACACTTGGATTTAATTTTTGAAAATTCAGTGTAAAGATGTGTAAAGAGTTCAAGGGAACATTGCCTTCTCACTAATGAGTTTCCTCTTGGTTGTATCTTGCTTCAGGATCCCTGGCTTCTGATGGTAGTTTTGCACCTCCAAGTCCCTCTTGTTTTGTTATTTATTATTATGCATCTTATTTTCCCACGATTTACTTGTACTTTTATTTCTATTTCGTATTGATTTGCTTCGTTTAAAAATCATTTATTGATTTATTTTATTTCTCATCATTTCCTAATGATAGTAGAGGATAGTGAAGGAAGCAAAGATGGTGCCAGTCAGAATAGGTGCCTTGGGTGCAATCCCAAAACATCTGGAGCACCACTTGAATAGCATCGGCATTGATACACTCCCCATCGGTCAATTGCCAAGGGCCGCTTAACTCAGAACAGCTTACATCCTGGGGGGAATATTTTAATATAATTAAAACAACAGCAGCAACATCTTCCTATGCCAGGTCCTTAATTAAATGCTTAATTGAGAGTGAAACTGGCTTGCAAAGGTGTCTGATACAGAGGTTGAGTGGACCTCTAGCTATTATTACTACTGCTCTTACTGCATTTATCTTCTTCTCATTTTCCTCCTCCATCTCCTCTTTCTTCCCCTCTATCTCTTCTTCCTCCTCCTTCTCCACCTTCCTCTTATTCCTCTTCCTCCTCCTCTGTCCCTTCTTCCATCTCCTCCTCCTTCTCCTCCACTCTTCTCCTATTCCTTCTCCATCTCATCTATCCCTTCTTCTTTCCCTCTCCTCCTCCCTCTCCTCCTATTCTTCCTCTTTCTCTATCCCTTCTTCCATCTTCTCCTCCTCCTTCTCAACTCTTCTCCTATTCCTCCTTCTCTATCTCATCTATCCCTTCTTTCCCTCTCCTCCTCCCTCTCCTCCTATTCTTCCTCTTTCTCTATCCCTTCTTCCATCTTCTCCTCCTCAACTCTTCTCCTATTCCTCCTTCTCCATCTCATCTATCCCTTCTTCGTCCCCCCTCCTCCTCCCTCTTCTCCTCTTCTTCATCCTTCTCTGTCCCTTCTTCCATCTCCTCCTCCCCCTTCTCCTCCTCCTCCTTCTCGACTCTTCTCCTATTCCTCCTTCTCCATCTCATCTATCCCTTCTTCCACCTTTTTTTCCTCCTCCTGCTCCACCCTCTTCTCTTATTCTTCCTCCTCTTCCTCCATTTTCCTTTATCTCTTCTTTCACCTCCTCCTCTCCCTCCTCCTCCTCCTCCTCCTCCTCCTCCTCCTTTTCCAGAAAGGTCAAATATTTCAATCTGAAAGGCAGCTTTGTGGATGCACACACTATCCGTGGCGTAGGAAAAGGAAACAAGGAGGTAAGAAGGCTCTAACCCCTACCCCGATCCCATGAAGCTGTCCTTCGGTGTTTTAACGCGTCATTTGAACCCGGGCAGGAACATCCACGAGGCTTTTGTTCAGAAGTTAAATGATGTTCAAAAGTTAACCACTCTCCCTTTGGGAGGTGTGCCCGGTGCCTGTTCTGTTCCAAACAGGAGATTTGCTTTATTCCTGCTTGACACAGACAGATGAACTCCAAAGACGGATTAATATTCAGATTATTTATTCTTCAGGAATCTCTAAACAATAACTCACAGTTAATGAAGTGTTCCTCTGAGGCACGTTTCGTAATCTGAATATTCATCCGTCTTTGGAGTTCATCTGTCCGTGTCAAGCAGGAATAAAGCAAATCTGCTGTTTGGAACAGAACAGTCAAAAATTAAAGGTAAATTCGCCCCATGTTCGTACGGAGCAAAGGACCTCGTGGCTGTAGTACACAAAAACTTTTCATACTGGCATGTAGCCAGGAAATCCTGTCCTAAACATTGAAGTTCCTCCCAATGACCAATTAGAACACAGATATAACCATGTAACAACTAAAACTACATTTCCCAGAAGTCCATCTCTTAAGGAGACAGGTTTTTTAACTCTTAAAATGCTACTTATATATGCTCTGGCCAGATGGTTACATACTGGTCCAGCACAGTGCCCATGCAAAGGGCAGGGCGTAATTCACATAAATGCAGATGCCATTTTAACTGTTTTGACAGACTTCCCCCCTCCAGTGCCATTGAACCAGGTTGCTGGGGTGTGTTAACCCTGGTTTCTGGATGAGTCCAGCCCCTGCAATTTATCCGGAATAAAAATCCCTTTTAGTCTATTAATGCGAATCAGATTATTGACCTATAATTGCAATGATATTATATTTTGGGAGATAACCACGTTCTCCCAACATGGCATGAAGACCCAGGATGGTCTAGAGAAGCTCAGATAGAATTATTCTTCCTGTTTTTCTTTTTTCTTTAATTATTCCTAGACGCTGCTCACCGCAGACCACATAGTTCTTGCCACTGGTGGCAGACCAAGATACCCCGCCGAGGTAACCCATCTTAGTTCGTTCCTACCTGGCATTAACTGAGTTAACTTCAGTGCAGCGTTTTGGCTGATCTGGGGTTAAAGATTGATCGACAGCAAGGCTTCTCAACCTTGGCCATGTTGAAGCTAGGTGGACTTCTACTCCCAGAATTCCCCAGCCAGCATTGGGTGGGCTTGACACTCCCAGAATCCCCCAGTCATGCAGATATTGCAAAGATGATGATTATTATTTTTTTTAAAGAAGAAAACCAATAAACTCCCGAAGCAATTTCGGTGCACGGGGAGCGACAAGAGTCCCGTTTAATTCTTCGTACATGTTGATCTTTACCTGTCCCATCTCTTCTGTGAATATTTCCAGAACATTCTCTCGTATGATGAACAGTTGAGGGCAGGATAGGAAGTAACAGGTGGAAGCTTATCAAAGAAAGAGTCAACTTGGAACTAAAGATAAATTTCCTGACCGTTTAGAACAGGGGTCTTCAAACTTGGCCCTTTGATGACTTGTGGACTTCAACTCCCAGAATTCCTCAGCTGAGGAATTCTGGAAGTCCACAAGTCATCAAAGGGCCAAGTTTGAAGACCCCTGGTTTAGAACAATCAGTGGAACAGCTTGCCACTTGCGATTGTGGGTGCTCCATCACTGGAAGTTTTCAAAAAGACTAAAACAACTTCTCCTGCCTTGAGAGGGTTGGATTAGAAGACCTCTAAGGTCCCTTCCAGCGCTGTGATTCCGTTTCTTCTTGTTTTCAGGTTCCAGGAGCCCAAGAGTTTGGGATTACAAGCGACGACATTTTCTGGCTAAAAAGATCCCCTGGAAAAACGTAAGCCCTTTTTGTCTAGCGCTGGTTTTTTTCCGCTGTTTGGGCAGGGAGAATTTTACTTGATTTTCATCGTTATGCTCCTCCCGGCTTCTCCTGCTAACCTTTGGCTGCTAAATAGAATTTTATCCTTCGAGGCGGGCCTTTCTCCAAAGCCTGTGATGTCATATCATGCCCCCCCAAATTGTGTGCAGGAATTATTGTGGTTTTTTTTAAAAAAAAAAAAGTTTTGTGTCCAACGGGGATGTTAACAGAAAACGGGCATAACTGAATAAATACAAATTAATGCAGACTGATCCTTTTAAGCTTAATTTTCATTTTGTGTGTGTGTGCCTTTTCTTTCTCTGAATATATGCTTTCTTTCTCCCTTTGGCTTTTTAAGTTTTGTTGTTGGCTTTGTGACTTCAGTAGAGCCAACAACGTAGGTTCCAATTCCGGATGGGAAATCTGTAAATCGGATTGAACAGAGATGTGTGTCCGAATAGAGTAATCAGTGGCTGTGTATGTTTATGTGGAGTAAACAGGAGCGATTCCAACTCGGTGTCCAATAATCCTGGCTGTGTGAGGTTTGCTGCACTTGTCTGAACCAGGAGAGGGCAGCAAGGGTTTATATTACAGAATAGTCTTCCTTCCATTGCTGTGGTTTTTTTTGGTATTACGGAGGAAAATACCCTTAATATCCATACAGTCTGGCTGGGGGAAAATGTACAAAGCAGGAAAGGGGTTCCTGAAAGCTGTTCTTCCCTTCCCTTCCCTTCCCTTCACTTCACTTCACTTCTCATTTACTTCCTTTCCTTTCTTTCCCTATTCCTTTCCCCATTCCTTTTCCTTTTTTCCTCTCCTTCCTTCCTTCCTTCCCTCCTCCCTCCCCCTTTCCTTCCTTCCTTCCTTCCTTTCTTCCTTCCTTCCTTCCTTCCTTCCTGCCTCCCCCCTTCCTTTCTTCCTTCTCCACATCCTCTTCCTTTCTTCCTCCTTCCCTTCCTTTCTTCTCCTCTCCTTCTCTAAGTCTAGAGAAAAGAAGGACTAGACATGAGAGCAGTATTCCAGTATTTGAGGGGGCTGCCCCAAAGAAAATGGGATCAACTTATTTTCCCAAGCAAGGACAAGAAGCAACGGGTGGAAACTAACCAAGGAGAGAAGCCACCTGGAATTAAGGAGAAACTTCCTAACGGTGAGAACAATTAACCAGTGGAACAGCTTGCCACCAGACCTTGTGGGTGCTCCACCACGGGAGGTTTTTAAGAAGAGACTGGACAGCCGTTGGTCTGAAATGGTATAGGGTCTGCGGCTGGAGCAGGGGGCTGGACTAGAAGGCCTCCATGGTCCCTTCCAGCTCTGTTCAGAATTGAAAATACTTCCGATGCCTGGATGTGTCCCAGGCTGTGTGTGTGTGTGTCTGAAAAAGAGCTAAGCAAACAATTTCTCTGAAAATGGGTTCCAGCCCCGTCTCCTGTGTTGCATGTTGTAACAGTGTCGTGTTAGAAGCTCCCTGTTATTTATACTTTGCATTCTTCAGCTTTAGTCAAAATAAGCCCGAAGGGGGTACAGTAGTAAGTAACGCTGTGCTTTGTCAACCGTGTTTCACAGCAGACAGGGAAAGAGATGCTCAAAGGCTGCATTTAGTAACTGTTCCATCAAGCAGGTTTCTCCCACCCCCCTTTTTTTCCCCAATCCTCCTTTGTTTTTTTTTTTTGTTTTTTTTTAATCTGTATGGTTTGTTGCATTGTAAATGAGCTGGCTGCGATTGATCAATGGCTGTGTGGAAGAGAGAGGCTTGCCCCAAGTTTTGTATAATAATAATAATGATGATGATGATGATGATGAAGAAGAAGAAGAAGAAGAAGAAGAAGAAGAAGAAGAAGAAGAAGAAGAAGAAGAAGAAGAAGAAGAAGAAGAAGAAGAAGAAGAAGAAGAAGAAGAAGAAGAAGAAGTAGTAGTAGTAGTAGTAGTAGTAGTAGTAGTAGTAGTAGTAGTAGTAGTAGTAGTAGTTGGAAGGGACCTTGGAGGTCATCAAGTCCAGCTCCCTGCTCAGGCAGGAAACCCTATATCATTCCAGACAAATGGCTGTCCAGTCTCTTCTTAAAAACTTCCAGTGTTGGAGCATTCACCACTTCTGGAGGCAGGTAGTTCCACTGGTTAATTGTTCTGACTGTCAGGAAGTTTCTCCTTAGTTCTAGGTTGCTTCTCTCCTTGATTAGTTTCCATCCGTTGCTTCTCATCCTGCCTTCTCATCCTGCCTTTGGAGAACAGCTTGACTCTCTCTTCTTTGGGGCAGCCCCTGAGATATTGGAAGGTTGCTATCCTGTCCCCCCTCGTCCTTCTCTTCATTAAAACTGGAAATACCCAATTCCAGCAGCCGTTCCTCATATGCTTTAGCCTCAAGTCCCCTAATCATCTTTGTTGCTCTTCTCTGCACTCTTTCTAGAGTCTCAACATCTTTTTTACATCGTGGTGACGAAAACTGGAGGCAGTCTTCCAAGTGTGGCCTTACCAAGGCCTTGTAAAGTGGTATTAATATGAAGGTGTCTTGTTCCTCATTTGCAGTCATAGTCACAGAGCCTTAGAATGACAGACATAACAGAATGACAGAGTTGGGAGGGACCTTGGAGGTCATCTAGTCCAACCCCCTGCTCAGGCAGGAAACCCTACGCCCTTTCAGACAAACGGTTGTCCCATCTCATCTTAAAAACCTCCAGTGATGGAGCATTCACAGCTTCTGGAAAGAAGGACTAGGGGTGACATGATAGCAGCATTTCCAGCATTTGAGGGGCTGCCACAAAGAAGGGGGGGGTCAACTTATTTTTCCAAAGCCCCTGAAGGCAGGACAAGAAACAACGGATGGAAACTAACCAAGGAGAGAAGCAACCTGGAATTAAGGAGAAACTTCCTGACAGAACAATTAAGTTGTAGGTGCTCCATCCCTGGAGGCTTTTAAGAAGCGTCTGGACAACCATCTGTCTGAAAGGGTAGAGATTCTCCTGCTCGAGCAGGGGGTTGGACTAGAAGACCTCCAAGGTCCCTTCCGGCTGTATTCTGACTGATCGCCTGCCGAAGATTCGTGTGGATGGCTTCAGATAAATACCTGCAGGCGCATTCTTTCAGATGTAGGGCTGACAGCTCACAGCCTCCCTCGAGAAGTACATCATGCTCCTTGCTGCCTCCTCCTCCTCCTCCTCCTCCTCCTCCTCCTCCTCCTCCTCCTCCTCAATGGAATTACATTATTAGTACCTAGTGAGGATTAGCACTGACATGGGCATTGTCTTGCAGATTTGGCCACCCGCGTTTAAGTTTGTCTTCTGGAGGAGCCGTCCCTTCGGCGCACTGTTCTTGGCGCATTCTTTCCATTTTCTCTTTCGGCTAAGGGCGGGATGGAGGGGGGAACATCGCTGGGAAGGGGGTGTGTGGAATCCCCTTTGCAAATTATCTGTATTAAATTGGGTGGACTGTATCCCCACCTCCATTTTCTGCTTTCAGGGCAGCTATGTTTTTTTTTAAAAAAAGTTTTGTTTGCAAAAGGAATTCTTTCTCCTGCGTTTGTCTGTTTTCTTTTGCTCTTTTAGGAAAAAAAGAAGACTCCCCCCCCACTTTAGTTCGACAGGCTCCAGCTTGCCCCAGAGTAATGGCTTCAGACCCTAATGGTCTTTTTATCTGCGGTGTTGTCGTCCCCCCCCCACTTTGGGTGTGCTTTTAATGGGTTGTTCTACTATCCAATGTGGTGGTGTTGTTGTTTTTATTACCATTTGGCTGGTGAAATTCTGGATGGCGAGTATAAGTTTCAGCAGGGACTTTTTTTGTGCTGCTTGGATGGACTACATGCCCTCAAGAACATAGAACCATAGGGCTGGAAGAGGCCTCAGAGGTCTTCTAGTCCAACCCCCTCTTGAAGGCGGGAGACCTTATACCAGTGGTAGGCAAGCTTGGCTCTTTGATGACTCGTGGACTTCAACTCCCAGAATTCCTGAGTCAGCCATGCTGAGGGGAAAGAGAGAGGTTTCCAAGCTGAGCCATGCTGGCTCAGGAATTCTGGGAGTTGAAGTCCACGAGTCATGAGGGGACCATAGTTCCCCCATGCTGGCTCAGGAATTCTGGGAGTTGAAGTCCACGAGTCATGAGGGGACCATAGTTCCCCCATGCTGGCTCAGGAATTCTGGGAGTTGAAGTCCACGAGTCATGAGGGGGCCATAGTTCCCTCATGCTGGCTCAGGAATTCTGGGAGTTGAAGTCCACGAGTCATCAAAGAGCCAAGGTTGCCTACCCTTGCCTTATACCATCCAGTCAAATGGCTGTCCAGTCTCTTCTTGAAAACCTCCAGTGATGGAGCACCCACAACTTCTGGAGGCAGGCCGTTCCACTGGAACTTAATTGTTCTACGTGTGACTTTTTGACTCAGTGACTTTGCTGTGCCTCGTAGTAGAGCTGGTTACACCTCCCTTAACAACCATCTTGCTTAGCAATGCAAGTGTTGGACTCCCTTATGTTCATAAGTTGAGGACTTAACCTGTACTTTGCCTTTGATCCCTTTCTGAAATTTAATGAAAAACTGTTTGAAAAAGAAGCAAGTCAGTTGTTTCAGTCTTGATGGAAGGCACCAGCAGAGTTTGATTTTCAGTTTCTTTCTCTCTTCTCTGTTCCTTCCACAGGTTAGTTGTTGGTGCCAGCTGTATCTTTTAAACTGAGATGCATTGTGGTATCGTTGCGGTGATCGCCTATCACCTAGATGGCTTGTGCTGTTTTCTGCACATTGAAATCCACAACGAAATTGCCGTTCAAAAACAGCACCCCAACAGATTTATTCAGTGATCCAAAAGACATGCAAAAGATCCAAAAGATGCAAGAGAAGGTTTGCAAATTTCCTCGTAAATCTTGCCGTTTTTAGTTTTCCTGTCTTTCTCCCCAAAAAAAATCAAGCAGAATTATTTTTCCTTGACCCGGACGCTTTTCTAGATGTTTCCCTCGAGTGCGCCGGCTTTCTCACTGGCCTCGGATTGGATACTACCGTGATGATCAGGAGCATCCCGCTTCGAGGATTTGACCAGGTAGCTTCTGCGGCTTGTGATCTGCTTTTGATCCCTATCTTGTTTTTTTCTTTGAAGACGTTTCGCTTCTCCTCCAAGAAGCTTTTTCAGGTCTGACTGAATGGTGGGGAATGGAAGGATTTATACTCCTTGCAGACTGCTGGTCATTTGCATCGTTTTAGAGAGTCGTTGAGGCCACCTGGAGGTTTACCTGTGTCCTCGGGGTCACCTGAGTGGTGCAAATGGGTGTGGAACCTTCTTGGCTCCAGGATGTTTTCTGCCCTATGTCCCTTCACTGTTGAAGGCAGGCGCAGTTCCTGAAAAACCACCTTTGGGACAGCCATGACCCGGATGATTGAGAATCTCCATAGACTTTTGATCCCTAGTTGATCCTGAGTTGACAGAGTGTCACCCGGGACCTTCACTGGGTGAACAGAAGTGGGGTTATCGTTGTCTCTTGTTAGCAAATGGCCAGTCTGGTGACGAACCACATGGAAGCGTCCGGGCACCCAGTTTCTAAAGAAATGCAGCCCAACTAACAGTCATAAATCACATTCTCCAATTAGTTTGAAATGCAGGCTTTCCCTCCAGTTCTCCAGCCCGCCAGTTCTTATCATCTCTTATTTCAACAGCCTTGATTCTCACGCTAGGTCCAGTATTGTTATGTCTAGCTAAACTCTCATGCACATTCCTCCCTCCAGCATCATCTCTCTAACTGTAACTCTAAAAGTAAAACATAAGAAGAAAAGGGTTGCATCTCCAACGGTTGTCAAAGCAAAACATCCGATGTTAGCAACGTTGACAGGGTCATAACTCGCTCGCGAAACGTTTTGCTTAGCAACAAATCAAGACAGTCTACCTGTATTAAAAAACTAGCATATATAAACCACAGGCCTCTGCCTCCCCCCACTTCCCCCCTTGCCACCAAGGCTTTGACAGATTAAAATTTGGGGTTACCGTTGTCTCTTGTTAGCAAATGGCCGGTCTGGTGACGAACCACATGGAAGCGTCAGGCACCCGGTTTCTGAAGAAATGCAGTCCAACTAAAGTCAAGAAACTGGACAACGGCCGGCTGCGGGTGACCTGGAAATATGCTGACTCTGGCAAAGAAAAATCGGATGAGTTTGACACGGTGATGTGGGCAGTAGGTAAGGACCCCTCCCCCATACACCTGTAAAACTTTGCTTTGCTCTAGATTGTTGAATTAATCCTGATTTATTTTTGGTCATGGACACAGCTGAGAAACGTTGGAGAACTTGATTCATGGTTGATGACTATTCCGGGCGAGGGTTGCGTGGCTCAATTCTCTTTGCACAAGTCCATCACTTTGGATCCTGGCTTGTGACCAAGCCATCTAGGTTTGTTAGCTGCCCTCCAAATCATTGACTTGGTTCTCTTCTAGCTGCCCCCACCAGCTGCAGGAGCCAGATGCCGTAGCTTGGGAGATATGTGTCAGCTTACTTACTCATTCGCTGCAAAGCTACAGTCTTGAAGAGCCGTAGCTTACGCTGGAATGCAAACACGACCGATGTTTTCAAATTCCGGTCTTTTATTTTTGCTCATTAGCGAGGAGTTCTTCACGCCAGCCGCTGGGGGTTAACCAAACCGGCTTTCCCATCCCCGCTGCTTCAGATCCAGAGCTAAAGTCTAGGCACTCCACCCCAAGGGACGAAGGATTAAGTTGGCTAAGGACTAAAGCTGCCTAATTGATGTGCGCTTCGCTGTCGGGTTTTGTTTGTCTTGGTGTTTTAATTCTCTATCCACACACATCAACGCCAGGTGTCCCGCGCTAACAGACTGGGAAGCTGCGAAAGCACTTCCTGCCTCCAGATGTGTCCATCACAAACCCTGAGTGAAAAGGGACAGCTTGTGGAGGGGGTGGTGGTGGTGGAGATAGGGCTCCTGCCGAGCCCTCTTTTAAGTCACTTAAACAACAAATCTCGGGAGTTGAAACACGCTCTGTAAATTGCATGCGGGCTTGGAGTCACCTTCGTAGAGTTACGGAATACTACCAGGCTGATAAACTTCATGCTTCTTGCATTTGAAGAGAAGGACTTGTGTTCAAGGAGTTACGAGCCCAAGTAGATCTGAAGAGCAGGTCCTGGAAGTGTCAGGCTGATGGATTGAATCACTGAATGATTGATCGTGGTCTATCAAGTTGGTGTTGACTCTTAGCAACCACTTAGATGGATTTTCCTCCAGGACCATTCATCCTGAGTTGGTCCAGCAGGCCTTCTCCTTACCACTAGTATATCCTTACCACTTTCTACAGAGGGATGATTGAGAACATCCTGTCAGACAGCATCACAGTCTGGTTTGGAAGCATCCCTGCTTCAGACAGGAAGGCGGTGCCGAGAGTGGTGAGGACGGCAGAAAAGATTATTAGCAGTTCCTTCCTTTCCATCCAGGACGTGGCATATAAGTGTTGCTTGAGCAGGGTCCACAAGATTGTCTAGGTCACTACACACCCTTATTATTATTATTATTATTATTATTATTATTATTATTATTATTATTACTACTACTACTACTACTACTACTACTACTACTACTACTACTATTCTGCCACATCACATGCTAACTTTTCCAGAGAGGGACGGAAATGGGAAACTCAAAAATCCTCCCTTAGCTGCCCGTTTTCCAGCTTCCTCGCCAAAAAAAACCCCCCAAAATTCCAGTTCGGTGGTAGGAAGCTGCTGAGATAAGCTTTGTGGGGTTGATTATTTTTGATGGCTGATAGCATCTGGGGGGAGAGAAGCCGGGGCAGAGAAAGGAAGAGCGGATTGGCATCCTTTGATGGGGAAGACAGACAGATAACGGGGTGCCGACAGGAGCCATCGGGAGCTTCCAAAAGGAAGTATCGGTTCTCCTTCGGAATTGAATCCATCAAGGTCCCCGGCCAGCCGTCCCGATGGGACTCGGTTGTTTTCTTTCGGAGTTTGGCTCTGGGTTTGCGTGTGGCTGTGTAAGATGATGGTTTTTTTCGACAGATGGGCTGTCCGGCCACATGGGTTATTTATTTATAATACGATCCTCGGTCTCCCCCCCGGCTTAATAGTTTCCTGCGTTTGACATCAAAGATCCTAAAACGGTGAGCTCGCCCCTCCCGCTGTTATTTTCCAACCCCAGCTGGACTTTTTTCAAAAAAAAAAAATTATTTTTCACTATACACCAAAAACTACATAAACATAAATCTTTTCTTCTAACAGAACAGTGCTTTACATTTTAAATATTCTTTACATCTTATTTACATTTTATGTACATCGATAATTATGTCTTTTTCTTTCTCTGTTCTAGCCAATTATAACATTTATTCCAAATTTCATAAAATTCTGACGTCTCCTTGTCTTTTAATTCTAACGTAAGTTTGTTCATTTCTGCGCATTCCAAGGTTTTGTACATAATCATATCATTTGTGGGAATATTTTCACTCTTCCAACATTGCGCATAGGCTA